ACTTATTTACATTCAGTCGTTTCCGTTTTTACTCTAATTTCAAAGCAGTTATGTTCGAAGTCTCAATCGAATGGCAATCTCTAGCGACTGTTTATTCCAGTCTACACCGATAGTATTTATTGCGCATGCTCTCCAGATAAGAATATGGGGGTCACCGTTTGACATGACTTGTGGAATACATGTATGTCTAACTTCGTTCCTCGGGTCGGTTGTTACGCATTATAGTACACGATTCGTGTACCAATCGTAAATATTGGATATCAGAAGCCCATCTTTCCCGGTAAGATCACAACACCAATGTTGATTAAAATTAACAAATAATTCGTGTTTTCAATGTCGAAGGTTGTGGATGATACTGGGTTAGAGACTTGGCTACTTTAAGACAAAATAAACGTTACCATTGGTACACAAATCATGTACCATGATGCATTTCAGAGCCATTTGTAACGAGGGACTCAAAGAACGAGCCTAGACATATGCACAAGTCATGTCAAACGGTGAAGCCATATTCTTATCTGGAGAGCATGCGCAATAAATACTATCAGTGTAGGCTGGAATTGCCATTCGATTGAGTCTTCTGGCGTATTTAGCCGAACATAACTGATTTGAAATTAAGAATAAAAACCGAAACGATTCTATGTACATCAGTTTATATACATTCAAATTACATTATTATATGCATTGAGACCCGTTTGTGTCAATTCCTAGGTCCCAAATATTAGTGGTTTAGCTCCTTTAATGTAAAAATGTCGAATTATTGTCATTTTCGTAAAAATCAGAATTTCTCTGTTACTAAGCTGCGTGGGGGCGGGCGATCGAAGTAGCAACCGCATTGTCTTACGTTGAGCTGAAAAAACAATGAAAATATTTCTGGAACATCTGGCCAAGTTGATATACATAACTGAGAAAAACATATATTTGCAACATAAACAATATATCTGTGGATATATTTTAGGATATAGTTCAGTGGAAACTCATTAATACAATCTACAAATTGTAAGATGGTGAATGGATAAACACTGATGTTGCTGTGTAATGTGAGAATATTGGACGCACACAATATCCTATGAATCATTTGGATTAATTTTAAAATAAAGATTTAATTCATTTCAATGTGATTTAAATCATTTTAATGTGATTTTAAATCATTGCAATGTGATTTAAATGTAATGTGATTTTGAATCATTGCAATGCGATTTAAATGTAATTTGCTTTAAACCAGTGTTATGTATAGACAGATTTAAATCATTGTAACTTTATACTCAGGACCTGGATTTTGGTCTCATTCGAACAACTGGATACTCTTCCTAGCCATGCCCCGTCCTAACCACGGACAAGAGGAAACCGCGCTGAAAAATCCAGAAGTTTCTCAGTCAACACTGTGATCGGGCCAGCGCCTCCCCCTTCCTGAGCTTCTTAGTCCATGTGACAGACCTCGGATTTTGGAGCATCATTACCAATTTGATGAATAAATTCAACCACATTTCTGTAACCCACCACATATTCTAGGCCAAGATTTATGTATTAACATTAATAGGGGACTGTCCCCATATGTTCCTGGGCCGCCGTGCAGCAGTAAGAGGCAAGGTTCGCTCTCGGTGCTGGCCGAGTAAGTTTCCCCTTTACTTGTTATTGGTGCAGGACCGAGGTCCAAATAAGAAAAAGTGTCTAGTCGTTCGGACGCGACAAAACAAAACAAGGTCCCTTGTATACAAATAACCCTTGACACTTGTAATTTGAAATAAAGAGTCCGGGCTAAATTTCCCTCATGGCCCGTCATCATTAAACCAGTCGGTGCCAAAAACAGGGACGTTAAACTCCATATCATTTAATTTCCCACATATGTTCACATTGCTATATAATTCATGTGACGCGTGATTATACAAAGAACAATCTGAAATAAAACTAGAACTGCGAAGCAGTAATGACGGGTTTCACCTGTGCCACGTTACCCTAAACATATGTCACTTCCGGTACCAATGAAACCATTAAACAGGTTTCCACATAAGCATTGCACACATCAAATAAAATGGACGCCGAATCAACCAAATCCAGGAATATCAATTCATTTTATACATTTGTTACATGTAAGTGTACAGTACTTCCGGTGATAATGAAAATGTTCAATTAGATTCGTGAAATCAGAAATGACATAAGGCATCACATGGTGAAAATTATATGTAAATCAAATAAAAATTGCCACTTTTATAGACCAAAAACCTTGAAAAGTGACTTGTAGAAAACCGTCTATTTCTCTGCAACCGTACAAGTTAGAAACCATTTTCTGGTATCTGTATGATCGTATGGGTTCAATCTATTTGCTGATTGGAATCAAATATCATAATTTTAAAAACATTACAAATCAGACACATTTGAATAAAATATCTGTTTTGAAGGCTAAAAATACAGTTTTGCCAAAATGACGTTACTTCCGGTGATAATGAAAATCTTAAGTTACTTGTATGAAATCGTAAATGGCATTAGGTATCAAACACGAAAATTTTATGAAAATCGAATAATAACTGACACTTCTATGGACCAAAAACCTTAAGAAGTGACCTGTTGAAAATCGCCTATTTCTCCGCAACTGAACAAGTTAGAAACCATTTTGTAATATCTATATGATCCTATGGGTTCATTCTATTAGTTGATTGGAATCAACTATCCAAATATTAAACAAATAACAAATACGACTCAGCTGAATAAATTATTTGTTTCGAAAGCTATAAATATAGTTTTTGCCCAAATTCCGTCATTTCCGATGATATTGAAAATGTTAAATTGGTTTGACCTAGTCACAATTGACATTACGCATCAAATGGTATCACTTTTATGATAATCCAATAATAATTGACTCTTTTACAGGCAAAATAGTGTAAAAAGTGACACTTGCAAAATTGACCATTTCTCGGCAACTGCTCATATTACAAACTAATTTTGAGATAGATTCTCTTCGTATGAATTAAAGTTTATGAAAGTCACAAAGAAATATTTTAAAATATGAAACGCCTGAATGGGTTGTAAATAGCTCAATTTTACACCGTTTTTCACCTTTAAATCGAAATGGCGCAAAAATGAAATCGAAATTAAAACAACTGCTTCCGACTTTTTTTGCGCCTTTACATGGCGCAACTTCTTACTTTTTAATTATTTAAAAAAAATAATATTTGCTTTCGAAAAGACTTATCTAACCGCCAATATTGTAGTTTTGGTCAAAATTACGTCATTTCCGCTGCTGACAGAAAGCTTTATCAGTAATAAAAAAGTTGAGACTTTTCATCATTGAGCATATGAACTTTGTTTTATACAAATCAAGCAATAAATAATTAACCCAGAACCCATAAACTGAATTAGCCAATAGCGGCCAAGGTGAATTATCGATACAAATTTTTTTCATATTTTTGCTCAAATCACATGACCCTTTAATTATAGGTAAAGCGCCATAAAAAAAATATTCATAATTAAAAAAGTTTTTTGTCAAAATTTAAATTTTCAAAATTTGGCGCCTAATATCTTCGAAGATTAATCGAAAATCAAAAATCTAAACAATCGTAGCTATTTGCCGTGTCTCAGGCTATGTCAAAATGTATCAAAAACAGTGTGAAACCCTAATTATAATGTAATTATTCCATATAAATAATATATTATTGAAATAAAACATGCGCGATATACAGATTGTTTAATTAAATTATATGTGTACTGCAGTAATGAGCAATATGTTTTAATATATTCGTAATTCTATTACACTGGATAGCTTTGGAGTGGAACTGTAATAGCTAATCGTATAAATTTTATTGCAATCATGCTCAATTGTTTCTTTTATGAGCCCTAAAATTAATAAGCCATCGGTATAAATTGTTATTTGAATTTTGATCTAAAACAGAAATGAAATGGGTTTTAATGTCCTACTTTTCTTCATGAACTGGATTTGCGATGACGCTATTAGAAAATTTCTCCCAGACAGCCGCGCTACGGCATACTCGTATTTCGAATTCCAGTTGTCAAGGGTTATTTTGTATTTTGCATGCTCGCCGATGTCTACACGAGACCTCAGTTTTTCGTAATAAACGAACGACTAGACACTCTTCCTGGTCAGATTCTTTGTCCTGCAACACTGACAAATACCGAGGAACTTTTTCGACCAACAGCAGGGGGCGAACCCGAGACATCCTGGTTAGCACTTAGCCCCGTGGCTCCAGATCAAATCAAATTTTTGACTTCCACAAGTTATACAAGATTTTGGGTTAATAGGGGAATTTTGTTAGTCAATCTTATGTTAACCAAATAACATTTAATGGTTCTGCAAAACTAATTTGTAAAAAAGGCCACAATTTCTGTTTGGTAGAATTCATTTAATATTGATATATTAATTAAATATCAATATGATACAATAATAAAGTGGTATTTTCGTCTTTAAAATAATCAATTATATTGGCCCTATAATTAATTAGACAACATTCGATTGTTAACTACACGTATACCGTATCCGTTATCCGCTGTACAAGTAATGTGTATAGTAAATAATATGCTATGATTTCAATGTTGTATAAGTATAGAAATGTATATTTATTATTTGTGTGTATAATTGTGTATGTCTACCTTCTATCCCACTAGGCTACTCCTCACACTCTCACAACACAGATCAATATCAGAAAAATAGTTTTTCACGCCAACGATGTTAGCCATCACATGTTGCCAAACAAGTTAAAGATTCGCTTCAATTTATCTTATTCGAACGTACTAGACCCAGCGGTTGGTAAACTGGCTAAGAAACCTTCCACTCTGCTTCATTTAGATTTACGACAAAGTAAGATTGGTGCTGGAAACGTATAGTTGTCAATAAGAAAACCGTTCTATAGTTTGGTAAATGGCGCGCGCTTCCTCGTGCCTGCTTTAGCTCTCCACACATAGAGAGAATACATGCTCGCGCCTATCAGTCTAAATCTGAGAATCCTATGTTGATTGGCTATCAAAAATCACGTGCTCAATAACCACTTTCACACCGACGTTTAACATGAAAGGGGTTAGATCAATGTGAGGGAATGAACTGGCCAGAAAGCACACAAAAGTTAATATTTACGAAACTAAACAGTCATACCCGATAAAGTTTCTAAAACATTTTCAATGTTTGCGCTCTTTTAAATATTCGACTTAATAAATTAAAAGATCTTTGACTTTAATAATTGATGTCAAAGATCTGAAACGGATTAATTTAGGAGACATTTATTCCTTATGCAGGTAAGACCGTTTACTTATTTATTCAATTAAACAATAATGTTTATCTGACACTTCTGTACGGAAACACTACAATTTATAACAGAGAGCTGTCACCTCAACATTTGTCTTTTAAATTTAATGATTGAATATATTTTGAATTATATTATCAGAGTTAAACTTCATAAATGTATTTTCTCCATTTGTTATATCACTGGGGACATATATCAAAACATTGAATAGTAATCAGAAAGACTTGGTATTTTCAAAGTTTCATAGTACAATATAATGCTTGATTTCCTAGCTGATTTCATATTTGCTGATGTTTAGTTTAGCGGTTCGCATGCTTATTAAACAAACATTTACACCATCTGCAATCCATTGCCCAGTAACTGCTTCTACCTGTTGGCAACAAGTATACTGTTTGGAATGTCCAACATACGTATTAGACCTTCTTGACACAAGTAAAGAATATGCACAGCTTACAATTGTAACTAAAGACTAACTTGAATTAATACTTGAAAAGTGGAACTTGACATTATCCAGAACGAAGTTATAGGGTCACCCGAATTTATATCCATTCGTAATTCCGATATAAAACAAACAGTAGTAAAAACCGACATGAAAATGTCCAAAACGATATTTTCTGTTTATAACTAAAATAGATGTAAAATTTATTTTGGCGTGAATCAACTAATTGACAACATAATCATCACTGTAAACAGCAGATAATTAAGAGTTAATATTCCTTCATAAATTTGATAAATACTGATCATCTTAGGCGATCTGTACGCATATCACTTTTGGGAAATCTGTTCGGAATGAATAAGATAAATTAATGTCATATCATATTATGTTAGTCTTACATACGATTTGGGATTATAAAACATCATTATTGAAAACGATGACGATGGGGAAATATTGCGCAAATTTAGTATGATATGAATACTTATTACTGTACGTATGAGGGAAAATGAACTAATGCCAATTGAATGCAATCCTTTATTCTATAATAGCAAAATAGAAAGTATAAAGCATACAATTTGTATAATGCTAAAGAAAAGAGTTTATCTAATCATTATGTCGAACAATCTGTGAAGAATGGTGAAATTATTGTTTTATTAACCGAGTTATCTCTTTTAACAGATGGTTAATAACTTATGTCACCAGATTAATTAATTATAAGTTGCGGTAGAGAAATATTTTCATATATTATTTATATTGCTAACCTTTAATAATGATGTGTAAGATTTCTTTATCCGTGTGTCAGACTTATTAATATCATATAATTAGTTATTAATACCCATTTTTCTTAAACAGAATGTCGGTTCCGGACTAACCTTGCTACAAAGGTGCCAATATGTTGCTTAAAATAATTGCAAGGAAACAGAATACACGATTCGAAATCTCCTGCTATAAATAAAACCCAACGTCAAAGGTATTGTGACTACCCCCCACCCCCAATTTTCATTAAACTCCAAATATTTCATGTTGTGCTGTATTATTTGCATTTTACGTATTACCAAATTAGCTTTTACAAATGTAATTATGCTTTTCCCAGCGGTTTATTGCAAAAAAAAATTTCGCCACTTGTTGAACACCTGATGGAATACTTTTCAGAGAACGGAGTTAATACATGTTATACTTTTTTATTTTAACACTCTACCAACGAACGTTACCTGGATGGTACCTTTCACTAGCACCTAATTTAACTATAAGTTGTGACGTGTGTCATGTACGATGCGGGTTATATTTACTAGGCTAGAACATTTTTATATCACTTATCCAGTTTCTCGGGGGGGGGGGGGGAGCGAATGGTTAGCGCGTGCGCGCTGTATCATCAGATCTGTCATTGAGTAAACTGGTGTGGTTTCGATTCCCCGGTTGTACGTGACAAGGAGTAGGGTCGCCTTCCAACCTCGTGGGTTTTCTCCGGGTCTTCCGGTTTCCTCTAAATGCTAAAGATCCCTAAGCGCAAGCGAATTATTGAAATAAAATTTTACCGTATATTAGTCCCGAAATGATCTGTTTTGTGTCGAGTGGACGTTAAACCCCATTTCTATCTCTATTGTTTTTTTATGTTATTTAATCTAACGTTAAGTTGCCAAAAAACAACTTGAGAGACATCTGGATTATCCTCTTGTTTTTTGGAATGTGAAAAATTACAAGTCAACTAAAAACTATCATCGTACAACGTATCCACTCATACTTGGGAGTGTTTTCATACCCAGTTAACATTTCTTTCTCTGCTTTTCGCATATCTCACAGATGAATGTTCTCGTATCTTTATCTGAAACAGCAACAAATGTGGTCACCCGATAATACAAAAAAAAACCCAAACAAACCAAATAGTTGTACAACAATTAACATTAAATGTACGTGAATACTCTTCAAGCGTTATTCTGAGACGGACAAGTCAAAAACCTCTTCTTATATAGAACAACATCATGAGGCGCAATACCAAATAAGGTAGTTAAACTACACCGCGTTTAAATTAACATAAATCCAGAAGACAAACAAGGGGACAAGATACATCAGACATGGAAATTGCAAGTAATAAGTATATAAATCAAGTGAATGGGTCCAGGGTCGGATTAAGATTTGGCGCCGAAACTTTCCTTTACAGCAGACATTATGCATAGCTGATCAGGTGTATTGCACAAAGCCACTTACATTTCCATCTTCTGTTTTCGAATTCAGACAAATTGAAAAATGTGTTACGTTCAATTGCCTTTGCTTCCAGGAGACCCCGGCTGCCATTCCTACAATGGAAGCAAACATTCTCAACACTAACCGGGATTTACCCGAGAGAGAGTCTACTTGACAAGTGGTAGGAACCAAATATCGCATAGCGCCATTCAATTAAGTTGAAAGCGGATGTAAAAGAAAGTTATTTCACAGTTGCAAAATGACTATCATAAAAAAAAAAACATCATTATTTTTTCACAGAAGATTCTGATCTTCAACAGTTCTGCACAGTACCAAAACATAGCTTTCATACACATATGTATTAAAGAAACCCATAGTTAGAACCAGCGGAGCCAATAATAAGTTCCGCGAGTGACAATCCAAAGAAAAGCATCTAATTAATTTTTTGACAATCCAAAGAAAAGCATCTAATTAATTAATTTTTTGGCTATTACTTTTGTTAGCAAGAAATTACGTACGACAATTTCACATTTTGAATTAAGAATTAGGTTGGCTGTTTTTAATCGCATTATTATAACAAAAAGTTCTCGCTATAATAGTTAATAAAATAAATAATAAAAAGAGAATATGCTGAAAATTCCAAATTGCTTCATTCTGGACCTAAATATTGGCGATTCAATTTTAGGCTAGCCTCGATTGTCATTACTTCGTATAATCGAGACTTTGTTTATTAAAACGTCTCGATTATCCACTTTTACGATTATTTCATCCACTGCAAAATGCACCCAAAGCCGATAGCATCGAGAGTTGATTACGGTCTTGGTAAGTTAATTAATGTCTAATTAATAATTTAGATAACAAGGCCTAAAAAAGACCTGCCATAGGCAGATTTAGCTCTTGCATAATGCATGTTTAAGTTTTTCATGTTATAAATAATTATCGTATTTTGGGATAACCAAAAATAATGCATTGGTGTTCTAGAAAGAGTAATTATATGCAGTATATTGACAAGCAAACATGTAAAGGTCCTACAAATCAAATCTATTTTAAGGTTTTTTGGTGGAGTATAAAAAATGACAATCTCTATTTAAATACTTCTTCGGATGTGTTGCAATGCACGATCTTCGTTCCAAATTTTAAAGTTATGAAATAAAAATTGAAATTTGTATTTAGCCCAATACTTCGTCTTCAATCCTTGTTTTTGCATTCTTTGTTTTAAATTATATTGAATAATTAGCAACACATCAAATTACACTTAAATTGAACTAGAACAATGCTACACTTTCTCAATAAAAAACAGGTCGTCGGCGAGTTGACGCGATACATCTCGGATTTTACTATAATTACAAACAAAATTGACCAATTTTGTGAAGTCAAGTTCGTCAATTTGTCATGTTACGTGATAAGATTTGACTCTCCGATTTTAAATTATATATTTCTTTACCTTTTTGTCTTGAATTGATCACCATATGCTTGGCGTAATGTAGTGGGCTTGGTGCTGACATGCCATTAACCAATTTTTCATTTCATCTCAACCTTTTCAATTCCCCCTTTTGGTTTGCACGTTGTCTGTATGTTAAATCAATATTTTACGAGAAAACAACCCAAGAATCCTACTGGTAATTTATTCTGTTGTATTACATGGTTGTCTTAATTCCCCTTATATAAGTAGGGTTATTTGCATAATTGATATTATGGTCATAGATAGATATAATATGTTGGATCTTTGATAAGGAAAATGTCAAGTTATTTAAAGTAACGTGTCTCTTCAATACAATGACAGCTGGAATTCGATATAAGAGTAGCCGTAGCGCCGATGGCAGGTCCGAATTTCCCAGTCGTTTCAGAATAGTAGGACTTTTATTCCCCCCTCTCTCTCTCCAAAACAATGACATTTGTTACTCGCCTCATTTTGCGGTTTATAATGCAGAAAAATAAAAACATTGATATTTAAATAGAAGTGTTTTTGAGTATCCTAGATAAATGAAATCTAGTATTTAGACAACTGGGATGATTAAGACTGGCATAAAGATATGTCAGTGGCAATGGAAACCAAACTTGAGAATCCCTGGGGAACTTTCCTTACCTACACCGGGATCGAACTCAAGACCTTCTAGTTATTGCGCCAGGGCTATAATTACCGAACCACCGTGACTTACATATCCCCAAGGATAAAGTGGCACTATCAAGAAAGGGGTTGGACTGAATTCCAGAAACTGAAGCTTTTCGGCGGGAATTACCCCCAAGGCAGTGGTAACCAGTTGTCAATCCGATCTTCTGTCATTTAACCGAACACAATATGGGCTGCGAGAGAGACAGAGTTTACACTGTGGATAATTACAGGGATAGCGCCATTGTTTAGCTTTCAGTCAACA